TAGTGTTTGTGACAAAACTCACTTCCTATGCTATTTCCTAAAAATAAATTTTTTCATAAACATGACAAAATTATTTTCATATATACACAAATATTGAATACATTAAGGTTTCAAATATAAGATTTATTTAATTCAAATACGACATTAATCCTTGTTACATGAGCATAATTAAAATTTATTGCAATTCTAAAGATACCTTATACTGATAATTTTAAATACAATAAAAACTTTTTCTTAAAATTTTCAAACGGATTTTTCGTTAAAAAACTGAAATGATCTCGCATTCCAATTGCTATGCAATAAAAATTGATTGTCGTAATTTTCTAGTATAAGATATAAGATTAAATACTGGAAGGCATTTTGTTAAATTGGTTTATTTATACTTTTCTGCATATGGATGCATAAATGAGCACAATAATGCACCTAAATAAATCTAATGCCAATAAAATATTGTCGGTTATATTAAATAGAAATTTTTAAATAAAATGTAATTTTAAATCTTGTAGTCTATAATACTTATCAGTTGTCAACAATATTACATCATATTTAAATATCTTTTTAGATAAATGAGTAAATAATTAATTATAAAACTTATGCTGAACTCAAATGGAAGTATTTTACAAAGTCGGCATATAAATGATTACTTTTAGGCATTGAGACACTATGTATACTATTACTATTTTATACGAAGTTGTTCATCATATTTAATACGGATAACAATTACATTCATAATCTAGTTACTTTAATGTCGGAAAAAAGATAAAATAAGAAAAATCCAGACAAAAGTATATCGGCAAACGATTATAGCATACAATATCCGAAAATTGGCTTTGCATTTATATATATATAGATAAAGAAACATAGGGAAATAGAAAGGATGATGGAATGAATAGCTTCGTTGGGGCGGGGGGAGGGTGGAACAAAAGCCTACCGAGTTACAAATGACTTGAATTCGCTACGGCATTGTTTTAAATGGCCGTCAGACGCCCGGAATTCATCCAGTTTGCAAATGTAACAAGCGCTGTTAAATTTATTTATTTGATGGTCTACCAACTGTCTCAGTTGCCATGCATTAATTATCGTTGTGTTCAGATATTAGATACAACTGTGTGTACGTATATGAATACGGGCTGCTATAGGTATACCATTGTTTATGTGCAAGCGTGTGAGCCTGGACATGCATGTAGATGTGCATGTATATCTGTTTGAGTATAAAAAGCACGGGAGAAGTTGCTAGTTTATTCAATTAATAGTCAATAAACATTTTTATTACAAGCCGATTAATTTTTTTAGATAACATAGGAGACGATACACAGAAATACGAAAATGGAGAAACGAGAAATAATAAAATAATAATGATACATTATTATCTTTTATGGGCATTTGTATTTTCATAATTAGAATTTTTATTAATTTTATTTAATTTTGTATGAAAATTGTCTTTATAAAATTTTTCATTATGTTTAAATATTTAACGAGGTAATTAATAGTTGCTTAATAGTATTGATTACTATTTATACTTACTATTAATACTGATTAATAGTAGTAATTCTTAAAATTTTATTTTTAACTGATTTTCTAATTTATGGACATGTTGTAGAAGTTAAGACTCGCTAGTATTTTTTTAGTTTAATACAAATGGCAATTAATTGAAATATATATTTATAAAACAATAAGCCCGTCGACGTTTTGAATAATTTTTGAATATTTTTTATTACCTCGCGAGTTTATCATTTTTAGTAAATAAATTCATTTTCATTATTTTGAATTTCATATTAAATTCATATATTAATTGGCATATAAAATGTAATTTGTTAGAACAAGCATTCTCGAAAATTAAAAATTTTAGTTATATTAATTCAGCTATTAATTCTAGGAATTCGGTTAATAATCATTAGAGAATTAATTGACCCGAATTGAGTCGTTAGTCATATAACGACTCCAATTTGTTTATATGAACGTTTGAAATGTTTCACATTTATAAGTTTCAAATTTACGAAATTTTATCAATGGAGATGTAGCTTTTTCAAAAGAAATTATCATATAAATTTTATCATTTTAATTTTATTTATTATCTTATGAATTACCCATAAATTTTAAAAACAGAATAGTAAAATAAATTCTTTTATTGATTCATGAACTTTTATATGCATATTAAAATAAACAATTAAATAATAGTGTTAAAACTAACGTACAATTTATAACATTGCACTTTTTAATATTAAAAATGTTTCATTTTTAAAAATGTTTCTGTCAATATATATGACAAAAGTAACTACAATATCGTAGATTATATATTTTAAATAAATAAAACAAGTAAATTTCACGAAATGGTATCTAATGTAACAATTACATTAAATTATAATTTCGCGATACTATAGTTTTTTTATAAAAAAAAAGACCTATTTTTATCTTTCGCCGTATATCTTGGCCAGAGAATGGTAACCGATACTAATAAAGTTTAATATATTATGGACAATAACATGAATTTCATCAGAATTACAAAGTCTCCATCGTCTTTCTGAGTATATATTGGAGAATATTTCGTGTGCCAGTGGCGTTGTTCAATGTCGGCAGGGAATGAAGGTTGTTGTAATAATACAACAGTAAGGCTAGTTTAATACAAAATGAGCTAAAAATACGCATCATACTAGCTGTGCCCGAGGGAAGTAGAAGAAAAAATGAAAGGACACGCGGTCAGAGCGAAATAAAAATAAAATAAAAGTCTACGAGCATAAGAAGGTAACAAAAAGCAATATAAGGTTACGATCCAGCTTAAATTACATAAGTGTAAGAAGGGGACACGAAAGTGCGTACAAGAATTGAGAATCTTTGACTGTGAACAGTTGTAGAAAGGTTTTCGTCCTCTGAGGATGATGAAATAGCATGAATTTTTGTTGACGCGGAATCAAAATTGTATGTCTATCTATTTGTTCGACGTATGGAAAAACGAATCTATTTATAGCATTAATGATATCTATATATAGATTGGTAATGATTTCCTTAATATTCTATATGGATATGACAGAAGGAGAAGTGATGTTGAATAAGTCCTCCAATATTTAGCTAAAATTTGTCATGCCGGTATATTTTGCCTTCCATCGTTATTTATTCCAATTGTAAAGCTAAAACAATTTTGAAAATTACAGTTATCTTAATGAAGGTTTGAATACACTTTATGAAAAATGTTATTTCAATGATCTTCAGAAGAGTTTAATAATTTTTCTTATTTATTGTGAATGTTTATTCATATTGGAGACACAGAGAAAGGATAAAATGAAGTAATCATTGAGTTAAATGTAGAAATCGCAAATTATACACATTTCAATGATTGCCGAATTATAATTATTAATGCGTCTCTAATCTCCGTGTCATGTATTTCACATTCTAGCCATTTAATATTTATCAATAGTTTAATTCTATATTGCGTCAATGGAGCTTTATAATCGTGTATCGATGTATAACGATTTAAATTATGCTCGACAAAATGATTATTTTGAATCACTTACGATATTCATTTGAAACAAAGGCATTACTTAATGTTTAATTTATTGCTATTACATTCGCCTCTAGTTAATTACATAATATATTTAATCAAAAAGGCATCTCGATGAAAAATAATAAAATATATTATAACGTGCATTTTTATAGTGTTATTTTAAGTTAAAAATCTAGAAAAAGTGCTCGTTTGTGAATAGGTACTTTACCATAGTGAAATTTCCATGAATTGCCCTTTCTTAAATCTCCATTTTTTTTATGTATGATGTGAGGAAGTGTAAAGCATAAAACTCAAATATTTCTCTTTATAGATAGTCATATTCTATGAGAAAGTTTACTAAATTGAATAGCATAATAAATGAAGAAAATGGAAAGAAAAATTTATACTAAATTTTCAAGAAAACCTGGCATATAAGAAGTAATTGTATTTCAAACATAATATTATGAAGAAAGGTATCAATTTTCACTGTACTTTTTTTTTTTAATTTCGAAAAATATATTAATATATCACCTACGTCACATTTGTTGACTGAATTTTCTTTTATATGGAAAATTATTATATATTATTTTTTATTTTTTATGATTCTTTTCACTATTTGAAGCATTTTTTTATTTTTAAAATTTAGAAAAATTGTAGTATTATTCCACAAGTATTTTACAATTACTCAATACTTATTGAAAAATCAATAGTCAAATATTCTCTTTTTATACAGAATCGTATTTAATTATTTTTATTATTATAATATTGCTTGAAAGATAAGTGATACATTCGATTACTTTATCAAATTGGAGTAAAGATTATATTATTTTTAATTAAATATTATATTGTTCGTCCAAGTGCGCTAATCTATAGTAGATTGTTTAAGTTCGGCATAAATATAATAAATCTTGACAAAGTAGTGTCTAATGTACGAATTGTAAATTTAGATTAAACAGTGATTTTATTTACTCGAGTAGTCACTCTGCAGAAATTAAAAATAACATTGCAATAAAGTTAAATAATATAATATATAATTTATCATAATTATTGTAGAATCTTTAAGTAGTTGTAATTAGAACATTAAAAACTCTAAACTTATATGATTAAAAAATTGGACATATAATATGCAATAAATTACCAACAGGCTAATATCTACTACAAATTAATATGTCTTCCTTTGATCGTAATTTCAACTTTCAATGTTTGTCGATTTCGATAATGACATTAATAAACTTAACGGAATCATATAGATAAATACCGCATATCATATATGTTGTATGATATTGCTACTGATATACTGGAAGCTTTTTTAAATATTACTATAAAAGACCGTTATAATCCTGAGGTAAATATATTAGATAGAAATTATAATTTTTGGCTTCATTTGTCAATAATATGTTTATTACGATACTAACATATAAATACGTTGTAATATAAAATAAATTTCTATATTTCATATAAACCTTGCAATTGTGAATGTTCTTTAATTTATTTAGATTCTTAAAGTACAATAAATACTTACCGGACCAAATTGTTCGAAATAATTTTTGACGTCCTCCAGCGTCGTTGGCGCCGACAAGCCGCCAACAAATATTTTCTTTGTCCTTGTCACCATCTAAAATAAAACCAATCACATTTTAACATTGGCAATAAATTTTAATTTAAAAATTCATTTTTATAAATATATAAAAATTAATTTATAAATATCAAGAAAAATTTTAATTAATGTTATTAATGATACTAATAACTTGTAATGAAATTATAATGTCAATAAAATTAATACATTTTTCACTAGTTGTCATTTGGCTTTAAGATATTAAATATTTATTATTATAATTGAAAATAGATAATGATCGATACTTTCGTTGTACAATAATTTCAAAGATTTTCTGATATCATTATCTTAATTAAAATGTTACAGGAGCTCATTACAGTTTCCAACTTGAAATTTATACGTTACATCGCGTCTCTGTTTTCCGCAATCAGATCATGTTTAATATTTCGAGTTACGGCAGTTAATAAACTAAACAATTAATCAACTCCAGTCACTATCCAAAAAATCGATCTTATCAAGAAGTTAAACTCGACGGATAAATTAATATCCTTGAAATCAATTAGTAATTTTTTCTAATAATTTTCTTTCTAATTGCTTTTCAGTCTTTTTTCTTCTTTTATTGTTGTTAAAAGCTTGCAAACTGAAAATATAATAGATAGAGCGTATAATATTGGTCGCGATAGCGAGAAAAACCTCCACAACGCTAGGTACGACGAAGCTTCTGAAAAATGGTGCGAGTAAAGTAAAGAAATTACTAAGAGGTCGAAAGAGGGAAGAGAAGATATAAATAGTCATGTCGGCAGACCTTGGATCCTTAGATCCTCTAAGTAACTCCAAACACTGTGAAAATCTTTGAACTGCTTAAGCTGTAAATATAATTGTGGGAAAAGATTTTTCAATTATAAGCAAGCTTTTCCTTTATTTACGAATGCCAAGGCATAATAGCATTAAGGATATTATAAACAAACGGGAAAATAATAATTATTAGCAAAATAGTTACACTTTCATGACTTATGAAATAAATAATAAATAAATAATAATTCGAATTTGAAAATATCTTATTTTTATTAATATACGTTATTATGCATTTCAACATTTAATTATTAATTATTTTTACATGAAATATAAACAGCAATCATAGAATGATTTTATTTCAATTAAAAAATAGAAAAAATATTTGAATATTTTATTCGGTTAAAATTCTGTTTTTATAAATATTTCATTCTAAATGAATTCGTATACAAAGTGAAAGAGTTCATCATATTGAGTTATTTAAATAAATAAAGCATTTTAATATATTTAATTATAATATAAATAATATTTTGTGTGTAACGTTGTATGTTAACTATTTGAAAAAAAAAAAATAATAATACAATGAAAATAATTGAAATTTAAGTGAAGTTCAAGTTCTAATGCAAATCCCCAATATCATTAACTATACTTTTTAATTATTTTAATTTATATTAGTTTTTTAGGCTTTTCATCAATGTAATACATTTAATATGTATACATATCATGAAAATATATATCTAAAATGACTAATTATGTGAAAAAGAGAATTTTTCACACAGCGCCTTACTTTATATTCATTCAAATAAAAATGATATTTTTTAACAATACCTAAGTCATTTTGCAGTCGTTCGTGTAAATATCACTATTATTTACGCGTTCTTTTTTTCACTCGTATTTTTCTTTCTATTTCTATTATATAATAAGATGCATAGTTTATAATTAAATAAAATGATAAAATATTTCTCAATATGTATTCTGATAAATAGGTATGCAAATCAGTAATGATATACATTGTATTTATCTATATATATATAGATAAATATATATATAGATATTCTATATAATCTACCATTTACAAACTATATAAAACGATTTTTATAAAAATTCAATACTACTAAGTGTACAGAATTTGAAATAATTTATATGATAAATTAGTGCACAATATAAGATCGGTATTCTTTATAAATAACATATAACATAGGCATATTTTATCCGATATATCGGTTGTTTTTAAAATGTAAGACTAATCGCTTTAGTTAAGTAGAGTTCTTCAGTGCGTAAAAAGCGTCAACTGAATGGAATTTTTGAACCGTATATTCGGTAGCTCTCTATTTGCTCTAATCAAGTTGAACGAGGAACTTTATCCCACTTATTCACATGCTTGCATCTTTTTACTTTCTCTTTCGGAGGCTAATCAGCAAAGTGTATGAAGTACCAATAAAAAGAAAATGCTACTCGTTGAAAATTAAATAAATTCCTTTACTGTTTTTCCTTACAATTTCGAGTGTGGATTTCACAACTTGCCGAATATAGAACTCTCGTAAATGTGCGTCTCTTGGGAATTCCTTGAAGTGAATTTGTCGGTCACGGTTCGAAGGAGCTTACGTATTTGAATAAAATGCGTTTACGTAGGATGAGCTACTTGGCGCGATTTTCCGAACAATGAGGGCCATTTTTAAATTTTAGCTTTTTTAACTCATAATTTTTTTCAAAATTATACCTTTTATGGATTTGCATCATTCAGCAACAAAAGTATATGTAAGTGAAGAGATAGACACATTTATTAATATATCATGAACTCAAATAACGTCAACGATTATGAAATAAACGTAGAATATGGCCAATATTATGTATTGACTTATATTTCTGTTATTATATGTATAATATTGTAATATTATACCCGTGTTATGCACTTAGTATAATCACTATTGCTCGAAAGACTATTTAATTAATCTTTATTTATTAAGGTCTAAGTTGAGAATTAAGAAATCAAAGAAAGTTCTATCTTGCCTATGAACGTGGGTCTTCTACTTGCTCTTCTGGAAATACTTGAAGTTCATAGGAAAGCTGGAGCTGGAGAATAATTGGATGGTTTATTTTGAGATAAAAATTTTATACGCATGGTTGCTTTCTTTATAACGTTATATTTTGACGGTTCCTACACGTTTGAGTTTTAGCTTCTGCAAAATCAAATAAAAAAGTATACTTATATTTTAATGTTAATAATTACTAAGACATTTTTTCTTACACGATTAAGGTCTGATTCCTTATTAATACTTAAATGTCTCAAATATTTTGCAGTCATTAATGTTTATTGAATGTATACTTTATTATTCTTACATTCATTAAATTTGTTTGAAATGACTTAAAATAAAAAATATTCTTTTTACTGTTTAAACATAGAGCAATCATTTTTTCGTGATAAAAAAAAACACATAATATACTGTAACATAATGTACAGATAGATTGAGACAAAACATTAACCAAATTAACCAATTTGACTGTATATTTATAGAGAAAATATTCTATAAACACAGAACTATAAACAGTTATTATTATAAGAAATAGTTTTCTAGCTTATTTAATAACAAATAAATCCATTTAATGTATATAAATATATAGGTATATAGGTCTAATTATTTATTAATTGTATAGGACTAAAGTGGACAGTGATATTACGTTTGATATAAAAACCAATAATATAATCGGAAAAATACCACGAACGGCTGTCCAGTCGATCAATATGAATCTAACAGAGGCTGACAAAAAATCAGTAAATAATTAATCATAGTTAAAAGGACCACTTCGTTGGTCGAACATTCTAAAAACACAATTATTGGTAGTATTTAATAAATTAAGTACCTCCATATATTTGAAATTATTAATCATAAAATATATTAAATTATATTAAATGAATGTTAAAATGATTATATTAAGTTAAATTAAATAGTCAATTTTTTTTATAGTTTAATAAAATCCAAAAATTTTCATAATTCATTTCAGCACATTATCAATAAGTTTTATGTCTTTTTTAAATATAAATAATAACTTTTTGTAAAGTCATTTGATTATCTTGTTTGTTTATCTATCCCATAATTATTTCTTTTATTTATTATTTTAATTGTAATTTATTATTTTTATTTGTAATTATATATTCATTAGATATTTAATAGAATTACAGTTACTATAATTGAGCATTATTATTTTAAATTATTAATCAAAAAAGTTATATAGGGTTAGAAATTATATTATCATTTTTATAAGATAATATTTGAATTAAAAACTTATTTACCAGTAATCGAATAAAATTTAAATATCATAGTAATCCACCATGAACCATGCATAATTGTATTTTTATGAATTGAAGGGAGTTAACGAATTACCGCATAATTATAAATGAATAAATACTCTTTGACAAAAATATGAATCTCCATGTACTATTAAATGTATTTGCGCATTACTTTTGTGAATTATTCATTAAATATATTAAAGCGACTTTTCAAACCGAAAAATGAATTGCACCTTCCAAAGAAATATTAAGTTGCAAAAAATAATCATTCATAATAATAAAAAAAAAATAGTATCCAATTCTAATATTGCTTTTATCTTTTTTTGCATAGATAGTAATTTTACTCTCAAAGTAGGAGAATTGAGCGTATTATGTACTGTATTTTTTTTTTCTTCCCATTCTTCATCTTTGTTTCTCTCATTTGAACCGTATAGCATGTTAGAGAGCTTAGGCAGTGTAAGTGGTAAGTCTGCTTAATGGAAGAAAAAGCTTCTACTAAGGCTTCTTTTCGGGTTATGGAATTTTCCTAATGTAATTTAGATATGTATAGATATTTATCCAGGTCATTTGATCTTTTTAGACAAGGGTATTTATTCTATAACGTACTAATCATTATTTATAAAATGAATTAGCAACAAAATTAAAAGCACCGTGCTATAACTATCTAAAACTATTTAGATATGATTAGTTATAAAAATAATATAAGATATTTTTAATAAAAAAACGAAATATTTTTAACTCTGCCAAAAAGTAATATTGTGAAAGATAATTTATAAATAAACTTATAATAGCCTTCTAAACTAATAAATTTATCCATAAAGTATATAATTTATTTTGTTTGACCGTTCAGAAGTAATTACTTTTTAAACGTAAGAAATAACATTTTATTAACTTGTTGTTAATATTATATATTTTTAGTATGCTTAATTATAATAGAATATTTGCAAATGCCTTCGAATTAGCTGATATTTATTATATT